TAATTTTGTATTGCCCTCAAAGCTCTAATACGTCAAACAGCAAGTTTCACACAAGAATGCTGGGTTGTGAACAAAACTTTCGCCCCAGGCGGGACTAGAACCCGCACCTCTCGCTTTCCGGGCAAGTGCGCTACCAGTTACGCTACCGGGGCACCATTTCATTCCAACTCAGCTTTTCATGGTATACGTACCATAGCTTTCACACGTATAACGTGTTGAGCCGGTTAGCCGATATCGGCAATGACCGCGAGGCTGAAAGCTTTAGCAATGATTTTGACTTGTTTTTGTTTGGTAACTATAATAGGAAGACCTTTCTCAAAATTGTCTCTTTGTGATAAATTTAGCTTGACCTCCGTTCTAATAGGCCATTTCGGTGGACAAATATCGCGTTGATTTGACGCGAAATGCTTGGCGGGGATCACCTTTTATACTGCAAGCACCTGTGCGTGGGTTCAGCACGCCTAAGCGCCAAGGGGTTGTGATAGTGGTATTCTACGGGTCAAACGAATTCCGAAAGGCTAATTTTGTTCGGTACCACGTTGTGGATAAATATGGGTACTATTCAGCAACTTCCAGAGGAATGTGAGGTAGTACAAGGGAGGAATGCCCTTGAATCTTCATGTCATCGTCAAAGATTGACCTTTGATTCCCATGGCAAGAAAATCAATACATTTTGTAATATAGCTTTTCTTTTGCAAATGAATTTATCAGTGGCCAGCAACACCGTCAAAAGAAGCTTTATTGCTGGTTTTCACTGCAGAATCTCTCCGAGTGAGCTTTGGTCAGTTTTATGAGCTTTATCGACTTAAAGGCAGGTGATACGATAAATTGAATTTGGGAAGGAGAAATATCACTGCTGTTAAGAAAGGCTAGGCTCTAACGCTCTTGCGTTGATGGACGCTCCCGAAGGAAATATAAACCCTTACAAGTCCCGCTTAACGCCTTCAATGCCTTCGTGTCTCTGCACCACTCCCACCTGCTGCACCTGCTGATCTCTTGCCGTTGAACTCTAGCTAATTGAGCAAAGAGGCAGAGTGGAGTGCTCACGATTGACATCAGAAAACTCGAGGCTGGTTCACTGCAGAAATCGAGGTCAAAAAAGCAATCGCGTTTGAGGACTTTTTGACTTTTTTCTTCGCTTTTCTTGGCGCTATCGCAATATATGGGGGCACTGTGGTGGCAATGTATTCAAACCGCGTAAACCATCTCCTTTTTCATTCTTTTCCCGGAGTTCCGCGTTGATTGATCACTTTCCAAAGTGCGCCACGCGCCCGATCATTGTAAATCACAGTGGTTCCCCCTTGTCCCAATCTGTCCCGGCTAACCGTGCCCTTGGAATGGAAACTGTGGGAAGTGGGTGTAATGTATTTCAACGCGTATAGCATTCTTTTTCATTCTTATTCCGGAGTTCGCGTTGCTTGATACACTTTTCAAAGTACGCCAGGCGCCGTTTCATTGTAAATCACAGTGTTCCCTTGTTCCAGCTGTCCGCTCCGCGTGCCTTTGTGAAAGAACATGAAAGTGAGGATCATTCAGTGTGGGCGACGAGATCAATCATGATTTAGATTCCCTTTGATTTCTGGTTTTGTTAGGTGTCAAATAACATAACCTCCCCTTCAAAAAGCCAGAAAGTGTCGGGTGCAGACCATACACCACAAGTGACGACGGCCTCCAGAAAATGCAAATGTTTTTTGCCAATGAAATGATTAACCTGTTACAGTTGTATTCGATCAGTTGACAGTAATTACAACTATCATTTACTAAAAATCAGCTATCACTATGAACCACTACTAACCAGATTTACTTTGGGTCGTCACTTGTGGTGTATGGTCTGCACCGCACAATTTCTGGCTTTTTGAAGGGGAGGGTACTTGAGACTGCCCGATCATTACTATATCGACTGCTCGAACCATTTACGTGTGTGTATAATCCTCAGTCAGGAATCGTTCGCCCGGACCCTTTAGAAATCTGTGCTGTCCTAGAAATATACAGAAAGGCGTTTTCCTGGTAGTTTTCCCGAGTCTCTGCCTTTCACAGTAGTGAAGCGGCACAGATTGGGAATTCTGCGGGCGTTTCCCTCTTTCTCTTTTTCTGGCTTCTTTTTTTTTGATGCCCTTTCTGAATGGATTCTAAGCCAGATTGAATCACGTCCTGTTGCACTTTTCTGCCTTTTTCATCTTATTTCATCCAATAAGGTTCGTATGGGAGATGGCGCATGTGTTGGAAGCTGCCGACTCTATCCACCCGACGTGGCTTACCATCATTCAACTCTTTGGGGTTATTAATGCACTATTGTTGTCACTGGTTACGTCGAGGTAATGGCATTCTACTCCCACAACTAACATCCCAGACCATTTAAATATACCCCATCATCTATCCGAATATTGTTGAACAAACCAAAGCTGCGATAATATATGTATGACTAATTTGTGCTACTCATACAGTTATAAACCCAAACAAACAGATGATTCAGTTCATTGTCTGCTTGTGAATCATCTGAAAGGCGAAATTATCACTGTGGGATAGAGGCGCATGTGAATTCGCTTACAGGCCTGCAAGGTCGAACCCTACCCGGGTTAGTAGGCCACCTTCCATCAATCTAGGACGTTATTGGTTCGGATTGTTACTGTGAGAAATTGTATGGCTTGAATGGAGGGATCAAGACGCACGTAGTTGACAATTTACGAAGGGGTCTAAACGTTTTTTTGGGAAGGGCGTCGTATTTTGGTTTTTGTATTGGTGATAGTGACATAGAGTAGTGGTACTTGATATTTTCAAAGGTGGTCTTGGAATTGGACAAAAGTTGGGGGGGGCTGTTGCGGTGGAGGGGAGAGGGGTCGGTTTTGACGGGGTTTGAATTGATGAAACTTGGACCTGGGAGAATGGCCAAGTTACGTAATTAACGGTTTACATGCACTCATTCAACACCGGACCTGACCATCTTCAAAGAATGTGCACGCGCATCCAAATGGAGTAGATAAAAATCTTCGCTCGGTTTTCGTTCCCATGCAATTATTCCTATATTTTCAGAAACGCGGGATGGTGACAGTGTTTCGACACCGGCAAATCGCACACACTATGAATCAATGATAAGGTGTGGTTTTGAGGTTGACGCGGCCGTTATCTATCAGTTTAATGATTAACAGACGATGGGCGCAAATAGACTTCGTTAGAACTCAGAATTCAGTTTCAACCCTCAAATGCAAAGACCGAGGTAGAGTTGAGGTTTATTGTGCTGGTGACAGGGAAGAGTAACGTCAGAGATAAAAAAGAAAACAGGACACAATCGTGGACAAGGAGGAACTAGCGATGAAGCAAAACAAGCTTGAAGTTTTCGGGGCGGGGCAACTACGTTGTGGCGGAGCTTGACGGGAAGACTTTGGCTTAGCGACTTTAGCTGCTTCAAGTTGTTGGTGGCTTCAAGTGGATATATGAGCGGCTGTGCTTGCGTTTCACTCCTTGGCGCAAGTACCTAATTCACAGTCACAAAATCCAGGACTTTGCCCTTAAAGGCACAGGCTGTGCTTCAATTGGCGTTTTTTCCGCTTCACTATGAAACAAGAGGTGAGGGAGAGACCGTCAATGAAGTAAATGAAAAGGAAATGTAGGACACTGATATCAATGGCTTCCTTAGGAAGATCGCGGTACGATGGAGAGACACAGCGCGGGCGGGGGGAGGGACTATACGAGAGAGTACGGTGTGCGAGAGGGCGCAGACATCGCGCATGCTCGTAATAGACAAAAATGCAGCGAGCCGGGTTGAACATAGGCTTTAGCATCATTCAAGTCGTGGCTTGACCAGCGATTTTGCTACCGTACTCAAGGAGAAAATTTACCTGGAGTTCTAACCGTTATCGACCAAGCACGGGTAACAAAAAGCATGACTGCCTTTCGGGCCTTTTCATATTACTCAAAAGTAAGATTTGCTAGCGAGAGTAATATGCGGCGCGCGTGCTTAGAGATTTTCATGAGAAAAATTGCATATTCCCCGCAAGTTTCAAGAATGATGCTTTTGCCTATGCCGATATGCTTTGAAGAGGAGCCGTACGATCCGGTTGGATGCATTCATTGCCTGCAGTTTATCGGCTGCCGACGGTAAGTGATCATAAGGACAATCTGATCGATTCACACGGGTTAATGCAGTTTCTCCAATTAGTAGCTTGAAAACCGGGTTCGTGGGTTCGCAGGGTGAGAGGAGATAACAGAAAAAACCCAAGAGATTAACTGATGTTGTCGATTAGTCATCAATCGCTGTTGCTTTGAAGATGAGATAAAAAGTGCACGAATCACACCATAGGGGTGAGTATTCGCTGTGCCAAAAATGGGCAAATTATTCATGTCGCTCTTAGAATGTTTAGGACTTTGCTTTGGATAGGTCTTGTTGGCAGTTTGTTTCCAGGTGGGCGAGAGTGAGGTGAGTTATAGAAACAACGCTCATTGTTAGTCGCGAATAAGCCGATGATTCATCTATGCTGTTGCCTACATATAGCTCGTTTCATATTTACGGGCCGACAAGATGGCACACAATCGGGACACATAAATACTGGGCTTCACACCCGCTAAGCACCAGGTTCGACACTCCTTCCTCTGCAATTTCCAGCGCGGGAAAGTGCAGCGGGTAAAAGAGCATCAACTACTTGAACCTGCACTTGGTTGATTACATCCTTCCTATGGACGAGTTACCTCGTGCACACCCCATGACACGCAACGTGGATTACGGACGTAGCGGCTAATTCAAATACGCGCGGGTTAGTGGAGCCATGGAGCAAGCAAGTTCGTGCAACTCGTCCGGCTCGCCCCTTCCATTTTTCAAGGAAGAGAGGATACTTGTTAATGGCTTTATCGAAGGTTTTTGTGGTCCTTTTTCATTTCCGGTCAGTTCGGCATCCAAAATTTCATAATCGACCACTGCTACCCCCCCCCCCCAATTTCACATGGGCTTGTTGCTTTACCTAAACGCCTCAATTACTTGCTTCTAGATGTAATGGCAGCCTTTCTAGAAACTGTACAGTCACTGAGACGACTGGTTCCGTTCATAGACACGTTATGCTATGTTATTGCCTACAATATCGATTAGACGCGTCGCTTCGCGCGAGTCGGCGTCCAGGCGCGCAATTTTTTGCTGACGTAGGTGGAAATCGATTTGCATGCCCGGTGAACGTCACTCAAGCGGTGATTTGCATGTGCGGCTTGCTAGAGTCTATAAAGCTGAGTGTCCGCTTTGCGACCGCTCTCTTGATTGTCATGTTATGTGGACACTTTAACCAAACAATTATTAGCCTAGCTTTAAGCACGTTTTGAAATTATTAACGCACGATTTAGTGCATGTAATCATTTTGCACCTTCGACCTGCGTACGCTGATAGGAACGAGTGACATTTCTACAATGAAAAACAAGATTACATATTGCTCTTATCATGTTGGGAACAAAAATGAAAGCGTGTCGACGTGACAGCTGCATCGATTTGTAGACAAAAAAGGCAACCAGTATTCGTGACTATGGAAAATATCGCGCACAATAGTCAACAATTATTGCACTACGTATCTTTGATTTTATTTACTTTAATTCGTACTATGGTAAACCCACGGTAAGCTGAAACGAGGGCAGCAAGCATTGAGAGGAAGGCGGAATCGGCAGAAAAGAACTTAAAGGCACATTCCACAATCGAGAGGTGTGGTAGCTTCTCTTGAAAATGAACGCGTAAATGGATACCGGTAACGGAAGGAAAAGAGACAGAAACCTAAGAAACATTGGAATCGAAAGTATTCATTTCCGTAAAAGAAAAAACCTCAAAAACATGCGACAGCAAGTGGGCAGCGCTACGATGAAGAGACAGTGGGTGCCTGAGAGAGACAGCAGACGAAGAAAATAAGGGATGTGCGAAACGCAGACACCCCACCAACTCGATCGCTGCGTACACAAAGCAAGTGCAGCTTTGTTGATGCTGACAGCGCCAATGTTCGTCTGATTTTCGGGGCCGCAGGAATGGAACATTACTGTGTTTGCGAAGTAGTTTAAGTGTTAACTATATGTATAGATCCTATTTGATTCATGGTTTGCGCATTGCTTCCATCGCTGTTGGTCCCTTTACTTTCGAACTTAAAGGCAGTGAGCCTGTCAATTCTGGAAGGTTTGTAAGTAGAAGCGGGTGTATTGTATTCTGCACCAGCAACGAAGAAAATGAAAGACCGTCAAAACACACCATAATGACACTCCTTGCTTTGATCCGTTGATTTTGCACAGTTTCCAGTTCTCGAGTAAGACAACCATGACGGATTATACAGCAGATAGTATCACATATGTCCATTTGTACAAAATGCGCTGTCAAAAGAAAACTGAACGATAACCAAAGCAGTATGGCGGTTTTGGGTTGTCATTTTTGGTCAGGAGCGTGATGCGTTGCATAGAGATACCTTTCGCTACTAAAACGGTGTGCTTTTCTTCCTTCGCTGCCTGCTAACATTCCAATGACCATATGCCTTTCATTGCGGCTCAATTGTACACTGCTGCGAAAAAAAAAATTTTTTATCCCTGTGTTTACACTTAACATAAAGCTGGCAATTCCGCGATTCAAACTTTTTTTAAAAAAAAAGCCGCGGCGGGGGTTTTTTTTTTTATAGATATAATGAAACTGAGTGATGTTACAGGCACAGAATTCCTGCAGCAAAAAACCGCTTGAAAAACCGCCCCATACTCTGAAAGACCTACCTGCCTTGTAATTGACATAAATTCATAACCGAAATCCGATTATTCTTCGATCAGAAGTATACGGCCGATGTCAGACTTTGCGAATTGAGCGATCGCTACCAGCGATTCGCTAGCGTCCGCGGTCGCGTTGCGGTACCAGCCAATGAGTGATTCACTGGCCGCGACGCGACCGCAGACGCTAGCGAATCGCTCGATTCGCAAAGTCTGACATCGGCCTACGGAATTACAGAGGAAAGGCAGCGACTTGCCTCCCATGCATTAACATTAACTAAAGATAACAAAGGTGTATGTTTGAATAAACGAGCACTTCAGGTAAAAAATGGAAAAAAAGTTAAATCGAAAAGTGGCCAAAGTGATTCACTAATTATGGGTCAACCTAATAAATAGTATAGATGGATGGAATGTGGCTTGTCAGCACAGATTGGGAGTAACTTGAAGGAGGTGGCGTCCGAAATCAACCAATTACTTTCTGGGATGAGCCATGCATCCGACTTTACCTCAGGATCGTAGTAGCATTTACAAGAGTATTTAGAGCCACTACTGAGTTGTCCGCACCCCCTGGCTCACGGACCCCCGTATTAGCCATATCCTGACCCCGCCCACCGCGCAAACTCCGCCCACAACCCCTGAATAGCACATTTTTGTTGTTATTTTTTCACATTTTATGTAATATATCACACCCCCAACTGCACCAGTTCCCCCACTACATCTCCATGCACCACCCCATC